TTGTCTCTTCGATTATCATGTTTGTTGTTACTGTATTTGTAACTTCTTTGCTTTTTCTTCTTTTTTGTCTCTTTTTCTTTTTTAAACTTGTATTTTGTTGTATCTCTTTTTCATTTATTATTATGTCTACTGCTTTTGTCTTTTGTCCCATTTTCTCTAATATCATTTGGACTTTTTTGCTTCTTATACTTTGCACTGCTAATGGGTGTTGGCTTGTGCAATTTATCTTTTCTGTCTATTTTTCTATGTTTGTTAGGTCTCTCATGTCTATTTTAATTATTGCTTCATATATTTTCCTTAGCATTACTGTTTCCATTAAATTTGTTTTTCATAGTGCTGCTGCTACTATATCTCTTACATTAAAATAATTGTTCTATTTGCTAGTTCTTGCTCTAATTCTTTGCTGCCTATAAGCTTTAGTATTGCCTTTGCTCTTTCACTTACCAATTTTAGTATCATTGACTCTTCTGCTTTTGCTTATATCATCTGTAGCTGTGTTCTGTGCTGCTTTGTTTATAATCACATGCACTTTATAATACTTACATGTTTACTCTGTCTATATTTGTATATGCCTGTTTGTTTGTCTTTTCACATGTTCACATGTTTCAAACAGATTTGCAATTTCAGGTCTAAGCTATTTCTCCAAAATTTTTACTTTTTGAGGTTCATTTGAAAAGTTTGTCTTTTTTTTACTTGCTTTTTGGCTTGTTTTCTTCTGCTGCTTTACTTGTTAGTTCTATTTCTGAAGCTCTTTCTTTTTTGTTAAGTCTTCAAGCACAGTTTTGATGATAGTTTTCCTATTAGTCTTGATTTTTGTTTTTGCAGGTTTTGTATTTTGGTAATCAGTGAAAAGAGTGTGAATTGATGTATAAGTTGTTTGTATATTTATTGTATTTAAATATATATATATATATTACTAATTAAATTAAAGTAAGAGATATATTTCTCTTTCTGCAAATCTATTATACAAAAAATCAATTAAAAAACTATTCATATAAAAATATTTTATAACTATTTATTTTACTAAAACAACCTATTTAATGTCTTAAGTAAACTTGTTTAGCTTAGTATTTTATATATATTTTGCAAATATTACATCTTTAGCTTTTAAACTTACTAAGAAATCTGTACTAATAGTTTTTGATTTCTAGATTTAATTATTTAATCTTTTTATAATTTCTATTATAATAACCTGTTTTATACTTTTAAGTAAAATTACAGTATATATCTTTTTAATTAAAACAAGCTTTAACAAAAAATTTTGATCTAATATTAACTAAATTATATCTAAATTTATCTTTTATTCTCATATAAAACTTTTTTTTTATCTTTTATTCTTACTTTGTCTCTTTTCTTTTACATATTTTTTATATAACTATACTATTATTTTTTAATTTATATTTTATTAATTTATATTAAAATCTTGTAATTAATTTATTAATAGAAATTTATTAAATATAATCTATTCATTTTCATATTTAGTTCTTATTAATAATATATAATAATTTGTATTACAAATCTTACTTATATCTAGTATCTGAGTTATATTTGTAATTTTAAGTATTTCAGTTATATTCTAATATTAGTCTATTGATATCTCAATTATATAACTTTTGTCTTTATTTATTACTCTTGTAAAATTAATTATTCAACTATATTCTTAATTCAAAAAAATTTTTTAAGTATTTAATATAATATTTATTCAATTTATTAAAACTTTAAAATATCTATATTAATTAACCAAAAGTCTGATATAATAGACCTTGATTTTTTCTACTAAAACTTTTTTAACAGTTTTGGAATTATCCTTTATAAAAAAGAAAATAACAACAATGTTTATCTAATTCTTTCTAAAATTAAACTAACTTTTTGCTTAATTAAAAAACTAAATTTAATAAGATTACTCATTTTTTCTAAACTTTTATTTCTATTTCTATAATTATTTGTCTCTGTAACAAATATCATACCAAATTTATCTTAACTACTAATACTAATTATATCCAAACTACTAATTTCATTACAATTTATATTATGATTAATTTTAAAAAAAATCTAAACAAGTTAATTTAACAACTTATATCTAATCTTTTTTCTTTAACTAACCTGATATATACTATTATATTTGTTCTAAATGCTCTGTTTCAATAAGTTGTACTAAAAAAAATAAACACCATTATCTTACTAAAAAATATAATACTAAAAATAATAAAATCTATTATCTTATTTATATAACTGTCTTATATCAATATAAAACTATCTTATCTTAAACTAAGAAAAATCTTACCCAAACCTTTCAAAACATCTTATATAAATTCTTTCAAATTACTAATCCTCTTATTGCTTTTTCTTACTAAATTTCAACTACTTCTGACTTTATTAATTTCTTCTTTACTACAATTACTAATACTAATTCTATTTTTAACTAACTTTTTATTATTAATACTTTTAAGAACTCTAATTTAAAACTTGCTAATTCTAGCAACTCTAATCAATCTGACAATATTTTAATTAATCTTCTCTCTAATCTTATTCTAGTATTTTCAAACCAAAATCTAACTTTATATATAATTGTATTACAAAATTTTCTATTATTAAAAAAATATAACCTAACAAAAAATTATAAATTTTATTTTTTTTTAACTTTTTACTTTTTTAAAAAAATTTTTTTATGATTTTTATTCTAACAAAGAAATTAAATCAGTTATTACTATTTAATCAGTACTTAAACTTTTATTCTACTATATTATCTATATTATAACTAAGTAATAGTCTAAATTTTTAACTAATCTTATTTATAACAGTAATCCTAATATTGATAAAAATACTATTATTTTTTTAATTTTCTTAAATTCATTTTAAAAAAAATCCTCTCTGTATTATGATTAACTGTCTCTCGCAATTATGTCGCACCAGCATGACTGCCAGGTCACATGACATTTGTGTAACAGTCACATGTCATTGTCCTTTGGGACAAGGTCTGTGGTTACATAAAGAAATGCAAACTGGTACCAGGTGGTGCAAACCTACAATAAGTCCTTATAGCCATGTAAATTATAAGAACTAAAAGAAGAAAGATAGAAGCCTACTTGGAAGATCTGAGTAGAGAGATAATCTGAACTTTTGATGGTGCTACTGTAAAGACTAAACCTATGAAACAGAGCTAGAACTTGTAAAACTAGGCAAATGTGCTAGTTATTAAAAAGAGTCTGAATGAACCAACCAGGCTGCCAAAATTGCTAAATTCTGGAGAAAAAAGTTACATGCTAGCAAACATGTAAATCAGAGGTGTATAGTTTCGACCTGCCTTTTCAGACTATCTAGTTTGGCAGCTTGGTGGAACTTGAATTGAATACCAAAGTACTAGAGATATGTTGTAAAGTCAGTATCAGGATTAGAGTGAATTCTACAAGAGCATAGTGGTTTAATAATATGCTCTAACTGCCAGTGTTGGTCTCAGCCATAGTAATACCAGATCAGCTGTAAGAATGAGATTCAGAAGATTCTGAAAGGTTTAGTATAAGATCAAAGATTCTTCATATGAGTGAACTGCTTTAAAGACTTAGTTGTTATGACATATTTTCACTGGCATTAGCTAGGGTCATTAGTAGGCAGAGTTAGATGAGTGGATACAAAAACAGAGTGGTTAAATAGAAAACCTACAAGCAGGTTCCAGATATGGCAGCTAGTATAGAACCTTCAGGTAGATTACTTAAATTAGACAATAACTATAGTTGTATGAGTAGCTAGTTGTACACTCTTCTTATGGTTGCTTTCTATAGTTGTAAAGCATCTATTAGCCAAATATACTATCAATAAAATCCTGGGTTACAAGTACTCACTTTAATATTTAAAAATAAAATTAATAATAATGTTACTATAATTAAAAATATAAACATAATTATTAATATCAATAGCATCTTTTGAACAAGAATAATCATAAAAAATTTTTGGTCTTATAAATTTAATTATAAAAGAACCAGTATGCTTCTTAATTATATGTTTAACTTCATCAGCCTTTGTTGTAGTTGATGCAGTTGCAATAATACACTGTGTTTTTATCTTTTAAAGAAGCTGCAATTAAATTAACATTATTAATATTTGCAACTTTCAAAAAATAAGATTCATATACACTTCCAAGCTTTTGAACTATATCACAGAGGTAATTAATTGGCCATTCACATCTTTATTTAACATGAAAGATACTATATAATCCATTTTGCATTAATGTAATGCAAAGCTTTGGAGACTCAAACCAACTATCTCCAATTATAGTTCATCTATTACCAAACTATAGTTGAGCTAATCACAAAATATATACTGTTATATTGCTATAATCTAAAGCAAATCATTTTTGTTTTTCAATTTCTTTATCTTCACAAGGCTCTACTTGAATAATAATATTTGTAAATCCATCTGCTAGTGTTTTCTATTCTTGTCCTACTGAATGTGACTTATAGAATATTTTATAATAATCATGAATTTTATTCTTACTTCCTAACTATGAATTCATTGATTCATCAATACACAAAGTTGGCCTTAGCTTTATAACCTCAATTAAATTTTATTAAATGCATTAATAAAACTTTGAACAGAATACAATGGATTAATAAGATTTGAAGCCTTTAATTCATATGCCATCATTAAAGTATAACAAGAAACTATTTGTTCAAATTGTAAAAGTGACATCCAATATTGAAAATTAAAAGATACTAGAGATTTTGTAAGCTCTTTACTTGCTTTCCAATAAAAACATTGATCAGCCACAGGAAAAACAGTCATTAGTATCCTATCTATAAACCTAACCATCACATATATTTACTATAATTTACATCAACCTAATTAGGATATTTCATTTTACATACATTAATATAATTAATTATATGCTGCTTAATATAATTAAGCAGAAGATATCAACACAGCAACTTAAGTAGTGAAGCTAGTCTAATAAATTCAATATTGATACTACACTCCTGATTATATAAGGGTTAACTTTACACTGATCAATAGTTATAGATTGTTCCTTCTAGTTTTCCATAGCAGAAAGATCAATTGTTTAGATTGTATTATTATTTTCTTCTTTATCATCAATATAATCATTATTCAAACTACTTTCATCATTATCAGAATGTTCTAAAGAAATAATTGGCAATTCATCATTTGATGATAATCCTTCATTAACTAAAACATTTTGTTTTTCATAATACAGATTACCTGCAAGAACATCAATGGTTACATTTTTAAGTTGATCCACATCGATCCTATATTTTAAGCACCCACCTTCATTTAACTCCCCAATAATTGTACTATAAAAAGTTAATTCTTTTAGTTATCATAACGATTTTGTAAGTACTATGATACTATCTTACTTGGCAATACTAATGCTTTAAAACTAACCTGTACTTCAACAGTTATTTTACTTGATATTCTTGGCATTTTGTATGATTAGTATTTTTTTTTTTTTTTTGAATATTTAATTTTCCTATATCACTAATTCACTTATATCTTTCTACTTTGCTTTTTATACACTAGTACTTATACTGGTCCCACCTTATACCTTTATGCAAAATAAAGTTTATATATATAAAAAAAAAAATAGGAGTTATATACAAAGTATATATGTATATATATCATACATGTATGTACTAAAAAAAAAAAAAGCAAATAACTTTATCTATTACTTTTTTTTTTTTAACAGGACAAGTCTTTACTATCTATTTTTTTTTTTAGATCAATACTTTGTCATTATATATGTATTACTAATCTATGAATTAGACTATTCTAAATCTGTTATTGATCATGATTATAATCACAATTATAATTATATGATTGTGATTGTGAGCATAATTATGATTATATAATATACTATATGGCCTGTAAATAAACCAAAATCTAATAAATTTCAAAAATAAGACTTCTTAAATATATTAAATAAATAAATTTATAATCTAAACATAGAGTAACTTATTTTTTTGGTTGAATATAAGCAGTATTCTTTGAAAAGTATAATTAAAATTTGATCAGTAAAGATGATCAAATGTAAAAATACTTTCTAAAAAAAGCTTGCTTATGTCTAATTTGTAAAGATACATGGTTATAAATTTAGTATTATAATAAACTATATATACTTAACAATGTTTTGTAAAAGTTTTATGCAATTATGAATAATTTCTGTTATTTTATCTTCATTTTAATATTATACTAAATTTAGTACAATATACTAAATTTAGTATAACTTATAGATACTTATTAAATATAGTTTTGAACTTATTATCTGTCACTTAGAAGATTGACAACTTATCTATTTTACTAAATTATCACATCTTTAATTAGAATTCTTAAATTTAATTATAAAAATAAATAATTATATCATTGTTTTATAATTAACAATTATTCAAAAAATTATAATAAAATTTATTAATATAAAGTAAATAATATATTATATTAAAAATATTTTGTTTTTTTAATATATATTAAGGTTAACAAAAACAATAAGTATTATTATTAAATAATAATATTTTTTATTTATTTAAAAACTTTTTAAAGTCAGTTTGTTTAATATATCCAATAAAATTTTATTGCTATATTTATTTTTATATAAACAATAATATTAAAGCTTTTTAATTAAAATTTTTAAAACTATAATAATAATCTTATTTAAATCTTTATTTGTAATCTTTTTATTACTTAAGTTATTAAAATTTTTATTACTTAAATTATTAACTTTTTTATTAAGCACTTAAGCATAGTATAATACTTATTTTTAATATATAATACAATAATTAAAATCATTTAATATTCTTATTTATTTAATTAATCTCTAATTTAGAAGAACAAATAGAATTTAAAATATTAAAATATTAAAAAATTATTTAAAATTTTTAAAAAATTTCATAAAAATTTTAGTTTTAAATTTAATTTTATTAATTAAATTATTAAAAATAAATAATATTAAAATAATATTTATTTATTTTACTAAAATAATATTTAAATTTTAATATTAATAATATTCATAATATTTAAACTAAATTAATATTATTTTTATTAGTTAATTTTAGTAAATTATTAAACTAAATTAATGTTTATTAATATTTATTAATATTGGTAATTTTTAAACTAAATTAATATTTATTTATATTAAATAATATTAAAACTTTTATTCAACTAAAAAGTATAATAATATAGTAAAGTAGTCATGTTATTATTTCAATTAATAGGTCTAGAGTTCAAATTTTAATATTAACAAAAATTTTAAATTTTTTTTATATTATGATTAACTGTTTTTTACTATTAGTTAGAATAATATATCTATTATCTATATTATACCAATATGACTAAAAAGTTATATAGTATTTATACAATATACTGTTATATAAAAAAATATAAACTAATATCAAATAGTATAAATCTGTAATAAGTTTTTATAGCTATATAAATTACAAAAACCAGAAAGATAAAAATTTACTTAAAAGACCCAAGTAGGTAAGAAGCTTAAGCTTTTAATAATACTATTATAAAGCTAGATCTAAAAAATGAAACTAGAACTTGTAAAGTCAAGTAATATATTAATCTTTAAAAAAAGGTCATTGTAATTAGCCAAGCTGATAAAATCTTTTAAAAAAAATTATATACTAAAAAATATATAAACTAGAAATATAATTGTATTTATCTTTTTAGACTATTTGAACTAAAAGCTTAGTAAAGCTTGAATTAAATATTAAAGTAATAAAGATTATTATAAAATAAGTATTAAAGTTAGAGTAAATTTTCTAAAAACAAAGATGGCAATTCTAGTGTAATAGTTGGGTTGTTATTTTTTAAACAATAGAATTAGAATTCAAATCTTACTAGTAATAGAATTTTAAAAAATAATTCTATTTTGGCAACTCAAATAAGATATTTGGGGTTGTAATTTTGTAATTTCAATTATATCAAAACTAACTTTGAGATTATGCAATGTTATATAAATAAATTTTAAAAATATATACTTTATAAGAAATTCTATTTAAAAATTTCAAGTAGAAAGATAGTATAATTATTAATAATATTATCTATAAAAATTTTGATTTAGAGAAGAAAATGTGAAGCAGGTAATATATACAGACAAAAATTCTAAAGTAAAAGAAGTTTATTTTTTTTATTTTTTTTTTTTTGCTTATGCTAAGGCCTTTTAGTTATGGCAGCTACTGCCTTTATTGTGAATTCAATTATGATTAT